TATATATATATATATATATATATATATAGGGTTGGGTTCACGTGAGACCAGCCTGTTTTCGTGAGACCCGTGAGACCACATTTTTACACGTAACCTTCACAGCAAAAACATTGTGAAGGTTTAAAAAAAGTCGAACCTTCACGACAAAAACACTGTGAAGGTTTTAAAAAGTCACCTTCACAGCATTTTGCTGTGAAGTTTCAAGTGTAAAATGTTGGTCTCATGGGTCTCACGAAAACAGGCTGGTCTCACATGATCCCAAGTATATATATATATATATATAAGTTCGGTTTTAGAAGGATTCGGGCGATGGATTTTGAAATCCTATCCGAACCACCCCTATCCAAACCTCCCAACCTGCTATAAAACTCGGATTTCAGACCTCGGATAGTTTGGGTAATATGGGTCGGGTAACGTGGGGTTTTTTCGGTCTATTTTTCAGTTTGTTCGGGTTCTGCACTACCCTACTTACTTATCTGAGATAGCTGACTTGAGTTGCATTGTTGCGAATATGATGCAATTTCCAACTAAAACTGAACACGTAAAACTTAATTACCTTCCTTTTCTAGTTTTCTTACTTTTGTTCCTTGCTTCCTTTTATATCATCTTGTTTTTTTTATATAAATAGGAATAGGATATGGGTGAAAGAATGAAAGTGAGGTTTGATAGATATTGATGTGATCCGGCAAAGATGAATTTCATAATATTCTTTGCAAATCTACTGTACCCGAGAGATAAAGTTGAATACATGTCAGGCTAGATCGTTTTATAATGTATTTCCTTTTTAGGGCGGAGGGAAATTTGAAAAAACGCTCTAAGCCAAAATAAACCTTCCCAATCGAAACGGCTGACAGCTTTATCAGGTTGTTTGGTGCCGCTGTTTTTCCGTTGAGGTTTCTACCGCCGGAATCTGATTCGTGTTCCAGTCTCACGCTCGTTTCATGTTAAGTGGTGTAGTGACGATGGATTAGAGATACGGGAAAATTGTGGTCTGCGGCAACACATCAATTTATGTTCCGTAGCGATCCGATTCTAGGGTTAATTTTATCGATGGGGTGTTGACAACTGATTTCTTTACAATCCTAATCCATGTTTGTTTGATTTGGCAATTGTGAAACATCTACTGTCATCCATTATTCTGGTATCCATCCAGATATCTCTTGTTGTGACCTCCAATGGCAATATCAAAAATAAGGAACGGAAGGGAGGAGATGAATTTTTTAAGTTCTCCGATGATGATGTGATGAAGGGTAACGTCAAGCCAGGAAAATTTGTAAATCAACACAATCTGACAGACAAGGCATCGGTCTAGCCAGGTTGGGATTTAGATAGCTTAAACAACTTGTATATATACATTATTTTGTTGTAATGCATCCAATGTTGTATATATAGTATAGATACTCAATGCTTATGATTTCAATCAATTCCATATGTGAGGCAATTATTACTAATGAATCCGTAACAGTCAAATTTATTCAATTTTCCTTCATCATCAATTTGAGGTTAATTACAAATAGCTTTCATTTTCAGACGTTTCTAATACAAACGAACAACCTTTGAGCCACAACAATGTCTAATGCAGGTCAAGGAGAGTCAAGACAGCCGGCGGCTCCTAAGCAAGAGTTGCAGCCACACCCAGTGACGGAACAACTTGCTGGTGTTGAATATTGTGTTAATAGTCCACCCCCATGGAGTAATTCTTAACCATTCTCCTCTCAATCTGTATGCATCAATTATGATTCAAATACAAATTATATTATGATCATGTTTCTTGATTTGCAAATGTAGAGGAAGCAGTGTTATTGGGATTCCAACATTATATTCTGACTCTTGGTACCACTGTCTTGATACCAACCATGGTTGTTTCTCAAATCGGTGGTGATAATGTAAGTAACACAACTATTAATATCTCACTACAACAAAATCGGGTTTATAGGACGTCAAAAATGTCCAAGTGTCCTACTGCACATCTTTATAAGACCCACAAGTGTTTGGTCCTATAAGCTTTTAAGTCTTGTAAAACAGTTTATTAGGACATTTAACATTTGGTGGTGTCAAACTCGATTTCGTTGTAATGCCTATTCTTGAATCAAGAAATTAGTAGTTTGAATCTTGTTGGATCTATCCAGGCTGAGAAAGCCAGGGTGATCCAAACCCTTCTTTTTCTTTCAGGATTCGGTACATTAATGCAAACCATGTTTGGTACTCGATTACCATCAGTTGTTGGCGGCTCGCATGCATTTTTAATCCCCATATTCTCCATAATTCATGCCAAAAGATATAATACATTTTCAGAACCTCATGAGGTATATACGAAAATCTTATAGAACATCTGGACTGTTTGATTCTTCCATTTTATATATGACCTTTATTTGATCATTTTGGGCAACTTTTAAGAGGTTTGCACAAACCATGAGAGGCATACAAGGTGCTCTTGTCATCACTTCTGCTTTCCAGATGATCATTGGATTCCTTGGCTTATGGAGAAACATTGTCAAGTAAAGTGTTTGATTTTATGTAATTTACTTATCTAATTTTTGTTTATTTTGCTATATATATATATATATATATTTTAATCTTTAATCATGTATATATAGGTATCTTACCCCTCTTTCGGTCGTTCCTCTTATTACTTTTACCGGACTTGGGCTATATTATCTTGCTTTTCCGATGGTAAGAATTGTTTACATGTAGCCTTTGATGGTTTTTGATTAATTTCTAGTCTTCAAAATCGCCTTAAAAAGATTATAACACTGCGACAAAATTGCTTTTTTTGGACGTCCAACCATCCTTAATAGACTTCAAGTTTATAGGACAAAAAAGCGGCATCCTATCTAAAGTTGTTACGACGAAGTTAGGGAACCTGACAAGTTTCATTGACAAAGTTGGACAACCTAACAGGACAACAAAAGCAAGTCATTCTTTTTAACTTTTCATTAGTCATTTTATTAATGTGTCGTATTAATCTTTAACATATACTTTCACACTTTTCAAAAAGTATTATATGAAATGGCTAATAGGACTATTTACTTTTTGTATCTTCTTAGGTTGTCACTGTTTGTAGATAGAACTTGTTGGACGCCTAACTTCATTCTAACAACTTATGGTCACCCTTTTAGATATGATGCTCGTTCTTGGTCTTATAAGCTTAAAGCCTCATTAAGTACTCTCTTAGGATGCTTGTGCATCCTAAAAAACCCATTTTGTTGTAGTGTAATCGGGATTAAAGAAGAAAGAACTAAGATGGGAAAATGTTTGTTTTCCTCTTGTTTTTGTAGCTGGGAAAATGTGTGGAAATTGGGCTCGCAGAGTTGGTGTTAATAGTCCTTATCTCACAGGCAAGTTTTGATTCAAAAATATTACTACGAGTACTATATATATTATAAGGTTGAGTTCCGGTGAGAATGAAAGTTATGACTAGAAGAATAAGAAGGGATCACCACCCTTGGATCAATCATAATTGAAAATCAACACTAAAGAGATGCACCGGATCAATTCCCGTGAGAAGTGCAATTCATGGGGTGGGGTTGAGATTAAAAGTGATCAACGTCTTGATCCCTTACGATTCTCGCACCGGATCAATTCCCCTAAGAAGTGCAATTCATGGGGTGGGGGTGAGATTAAAAGTAATCAAGGTCTTGATCCCTTCTTATAATTCTCACCTTAACTCCTATTCTCACACGATCCTTTGTCTATATATACATATGTATATATTGTAAGAACTAAGTTGATATCGACTGTTTGCCTGCAGTATCTTCCTCCATATCTAACCTCCAAGAAGCCAATGTTCGATCGGTTTGCAGTGTTGTTATCTGTTTCAATTGCATGGACATGTACTGGAATCTTGACATGGAGTGGTGCTTATGCCAAATCTACAGACACTCTAAACACTTGTCGCACTGATCGTTCGGGACTTATTTACGGAGCTCCTTGGTGATGTTAATTTTGATTGAGATCAATGCACATTAATTAATGTTATCTCCTATATATCTTGATCTGATCTTATGTTGTTGCTAAACACAGGATATATGTTCCTTATCCATTTCAATGGGGTACTCCTACTTTTGATGTTGGGGAAGTTCTCATGATGATGGTTGCTTCTTTTATCTCTTCCATTGAGGTTTGCTTAATTCTTATCATCATTCAATTCTTTAAAATTCATGATTTTCAAATCCTTAATTAAATTCCTGTGGTGCATGCAGTCTACTGGTTTGTTTCTTGCAACAGCAAGATATGGGAGCGCCACTCCTGTGCCACCTTCCATTCTGAGCCGTGGTATCGGCTGGCTGGTATGCAGACACGCTTTGATAAAAACGTTCGAGTGTCGTAATAGACTAGGAATTAAATTTATAGGACCAAACACTTGGTCGTGTGTCCTATCTGAAAGTGTTATAATAAGTTTATAGGATGCTTTTGGCCGTCATTAACACATTAATTTTTTATATGACGTTATTTGAATAATATGTCTTGTAAAACAAGTGTTCTATAAAAATAAGTGTTCATATGACACTTCTTAAAAGTGTCTTGTAAAAAAGATAACAGGACACTAAGTGTCTTAAAAAACCTGTTAAGATGTCCAAAAGCGTTATATAAACTTATTGCAACACTTCTACATATACAATTGTTTGGTCTTATAGACTTGTCTTGTAATTAGGACACTTAGAAGTGTTTTTTAAACCCAATTTTGCTCTAGTGTGCTCACCTTTGTTTCCTACACGACTCATTGAAGAAATTAAACACATCTTGCATTGTTGGTAGGGAGTTGGGACTTTCCTCGGTGGCATGTGTGGCACAGTAACAGGATTTGCTGCATCCACGTAACGTCCAACCTTCATCGATCTCTTTAATTATCTTTAACATTCGCCCATTTTTTTATCAACCATGATGTCGCTATTTTGCAGTGAAAACTGTGGTGCATTGGCATTGACAAGAGTCGGAAGTCGAAGAGTGATTCAAATATCAGCTGCTTTTATGATCTTCTTTTCTGTGTTCGGTATTACTAATCATGTATTTGATTTCTCATGTCTCCATATATAATCACCTCATCGTAACCATTTTCTTCCCATTCAACAGGAAAATTTGGAGCGGTTTTCGCTTCGATACCTTTGCCAATTGCTGCTGCTTTGTACTGCATTTGTTTCGGTTGCGTCTGTATGTCCCAATTTCAAATCTCTACAATCTTTAACAATTCCAACTTCCATTACCAATTATCATCCACTACAACAAAATCACGTTTATAGGACGTAAAAGATACACTATTTCAAAAGTGTCGTATAAAAGTTGTTAAGACAAAAAAAGGCCATATTTTTACACTTTTACACAAGACAACTAAAAAAGTTGTTAAGACGGCTAAAAACATATATAAACTTACTGTAACATTTTTGCATTAACTAAAAAAGCAAGACACATATAAACTTATTGTAACACTTTTTCACAAGACAAATAATTGTTTAGTCCTATAAGCCTAAGTGTTATAAAGATATAAAGCATTTATTAAACATTTTTGGCATACCATACCCGATTTTGTTACATTGATTCATGGCTATATCTTTTCTTAATTGGATCAATAACTAATGATCATCCTTATATTATATGTGTGTATGTAGCTTCTGCAGGTCTGGGTCACTTGCAGTTCTGTAATCTCAACAGTTTCAGGACCAAGTTCATATTGGGCCTTTCTTTCTCCCTGGGACTTTCACTTCCACAGTTCTTCCGTGAACACTGGGTTGGTTTCGATCACGGTCCAGTGCACACCCATGCGAGATGGGTATGTTTAATTTGTATTAGTTGGAATACAGATCACCTGTCTCCGAACTCTCTTTCCCCTGACGTATCGATACCTTATTGATGGACAGGGAGGGGGCATGGAGTTTGGGGATGGTGATTTTTATTCAGTTCATTGGCTTAGATTCTATATACTCCCCCCGTTCCCCACACAGTTTTATACATTAATAATTACTTCGCTTTTTTTTTTGGGTAAAAGGGGACGGAAATTTTTAGTTAAGCCAATGACAACTTTACCCTCAAGTATTTGTGCACGTTTCTATTTTCCAAAATAAGTGTTCACTTTCAAAAATAGTTGATTAAATTTCCATTTCTTTCGTTAATCAATGCACAAATGTTTAAAAGTTGATAAGATAGATGCATTAGTTAGGGTTTAGGAATAGAGGTACCGTTGGGCTAATGACCCTTTTGTGCTTGTATGGATGCAGTTTGACAACATGGTATCGGTGGTACTGATGTCGCATGCGAGTGTGGCAGTGATGATTGCCATGGTCTTGGACTGCACGCTTTGCAAGGGTAACGATGAGTACCGGAAAGATTGGTGGGAGAAATTTGCGGTATATGGTAAAGATATTCGGAGCGATGAGTTCTATAAACTTCCGTGGCAGCTTAACAAGTTATTCCCCGCATTGTAACAAAGTTATTTAACAAATTTTGCCGATCGGAGGAGTCAATGCTATTCAACGATTAAAATTTTATTAATAAAAAAAATTATGCGAGTTGGGATCATATGGGAATTTTTCACTTTATATGAACCGTAAAAGCATGGCCAAACAATCTATTTAGACCTTTGGAAGCGCCTGTTGGAAATTTTTGTGAGGTTGGAAGTTTATCTTCCATCCCATATTGGTAGATAGACAAATATTGGAGAGGTTTATAAGGCTATCTCTTCAATTGGACTTTGAAATAATTGGTAAACTCATGATGGGGGTCATGAATGGAAGGCCCAACGCACATGTGTGCTTGGCTAAGGCTGCAGGATTCGCAAAAGTGGCACGAGTAGGCGCACACCGTATCGAAGCCTTGCCCTGAGGTCCCGAGTATCTTTTTGGTACGATTTAGAGAGATAATTATCTGGCTGAGGATTTTATGACTTATCTTATTAAATCGGATAATTCAGCTTGATTAAATATGTGAAAATCAGTTAAAGACTTGGTCTCTATCTGATCCCGTTTTTGAGAGATAGTGGGCGAGATCATGGAGGTGGTTAACCGGTATAAATACTGGGTTAAACCACCTCATAACACACCATGAAAAAACGTCTTCTGCTCTCTCTATCGAACTTTTGTCAGAAATCTGCTCTGTTTTTTCCACTACAAACAGTGTCAAACTACCAATCTTTTCTGCTTCCTCCTTGCCTTTTGTTTCGTTATCATAGCTGTTGATAAATGAAACCGAATACTGTATCAAATCCTGGGACTTTACGACTAGCAGACTCATAACATTCAAGAGTGGTCATATAAAATCTTTAAGGACAAGTTTTACCGTGCAGATTAAGTTTTCAACATCGATTTAATCAGGTTGGTTTTAATTTCGTGCATTGTATTTAATTTATGTTCACTAAGTGAACAACTCTTCTTCTACTCTCTTCTTTCATTGAATCTATCGTGGAGGATAGATTCAATCTGTGTGAAATTGTTCGGTTTGAGGTGTTGTGGATTCCGGATATAAAAAGTTACCATCTTTATTCATAAAAGTTCAATTTTTGGATTAAAAAGTTAAACTACTTTATAAAGGTTAAAACTTTATTTGTTGTTTTTTTATCTATCCAACTTTGATAAATTTTCAACAATTTTAAAGGTTTTATAGTAATGGACACTGGAAACTACCGAATCCTAAATCAAGACATGATGAAACTCGAGAAGTTCGACAAGACTAGCTATACCCGTTGGGCAGACAAATTCAAATTCATGTTGATGGTTGTAAAACTCTACTATGTTTTGGACCCTGACCTCCCTCCTATTCCCGAAAATCCGGTTCCCGAACCAGGGAAAGAACCGGATAGACAAAGAATTGCCGATGTTGAAAAATCTGAGACTACTCCACAAGGAAGAGGAAACCCTTGCTTGCGGATATATAAAAAATGTATTGTTAGATTGTCTGTATGATCTGTATTCCTCGATTACGTGCCCAAGAGAGTTGTGGAAAACATTGAAATTCAAATATAAGTCACAAGAAGATCGCACTAACAAATATCTTGTGTCTCAATATTTGAGATTTCAAATGGTTGATGATAAACCGATTCGGGAGCAAGTGCAAGAGCTCCAAGTTTTAGTAAACAAACTGAAGTCACTTTCTATTCTTATTCCTCAAATTTTCCAAGTGAGGCAGTCATGGATAAATTGCCTCCATCTTGGAAAGATTTTTCAAAAAGAATGATGCACAAAAACGAAGATTATTATTTGGATGATTTACTAAAACATCTTCAAATCAAGGAAGAGGCACGTAATCGGGATAAGAGAGGCAAGTCATTGATGAATACTAAAAGCATGCAGGCTGGAGGCAAGGGTAAGGGAGGGGCCGAAGGTCTAAATAAAAAAGTGCAACTTGGGTCCACAAAAGAAGAGTTTTAAGATATCGGGTCATCAATCAAACCCAGGGCAACAATTTGAAAGGGTCGGAAAGTGTCACGTCTACAGAGAGATGAGACATTATGCTCATGAGTGCAAGCACAGAAAGTCCGGACCGCCTGTTGCTAACTCTGTTGAGGGGATTCAACACCTTGTGGAGAATCTTCACATGGAGGAGATTGATATGATCTCAGAGGCCTCTACAATGATTGTGGCTGGAGGAGGCTAGTACTTGGACTTCAGAGCCACTGTTCATGTTTGTGACTCCAGGTCCAAGTTTGTTGAATATGGACCGATTCGAGATGGAAAACAAGTGATAGTAGCTAACAACGGTCGTGCTGATGTCATTGGAATGGGTATCGTGCTATCGAAGTTCACTTCCGACAAGACCGTCACTCTCCGAAATGTTCTTCATGTCCCTTCTATCAACAAGAGCCTCGTCTCTGCAAGCAAACTCGATGAAAATGGGTTTGGAATAAATATTGAGGCAAGAAAGCTCGTGATATACAAGAGGAAGACTTTTATTGAAAAGGGATACTACCAGCTGCGTATATATTGCCTGAATCTGAGTGAGGATGGTAATAGACCTAGTGAGTTAGTAGGGAGTAATGTGTTAGCCACATCTGATGAAGCATCTGAATTTTCTATTTCCACAATTGATGTAATTCCCAACGTTATTAATGAAGTTAATTCTTTGGATTGTTTTGTTTGTTCTATTTCTTTATGGCACAAATGTCTTGCTCATACAAATGTAAGAAATATTGGAAAAAAATGCAAAATAAAGGATTAATCAAAATTAATAACATGTTTATTTGTTACACTCAAAATATGAAGCTTTTGAACCTTTAAACTTTATAATGATGAAGTCGAAAATCAACTCAAAAAACAAATTAAAATACTTCGATCAGACAGAGGTGGTGAATATTTCAATAGAGATTTCGATATATTCTGTGAAGAAAATGGTATCAAACATGAAAGCACCTTACCATTTACTTCTTAACAAAATGGCTTGGCGGAACGAATGAACCGAACCCTTATTTAAATGGTCAACTGTATGTTGAACCAATAGGGTTTGCCTAAAAATCTTTGGGGAGAAGCCCTGCTAACGGCTTGCCATGTTCATGATCGAATTGCTAGTCTTGTGATTCCAACCAGCCCATATGATCTCTGAAAAGGAAGGAAACCAAACTTGAACTACTTTAGAGTTTAGGGCTGTATTGCCTACTATCAAACCCTTGATCCAAAAAGATCTAAATTGGGAGCTTGTACTGTTAAGAGCATATTCGTCGGATATGCGATAAATAACAAGGCTTACAGATTATTGGACAAAGAGTCAGGAGTTATAGTAGAATCAGGGATGTGGAATTCTTTGAAGATAGATTTTTAGAAGATGCTGAAAGATCAGAACTAACATTGGCCTCTAATCCCTCTTGTTCATCTCGTGATAGTTCCAAAACCTTAAATAAGTTTGACGAACCACGAAGAAATACAAGAGCGAGAAAAGAGAAAAGTCGGAAATGATTTATTCTCATACTTGGTAGAAGAGACACAAAATAAAGTGACAAGAGAGATCATTTTCTCTATCAATACTGAAGAGGATCTCAAGACATATAAAGAGTCCATGACTTCAATGGATGCTCCACTGTGGAAGGAAGCAATAAATGATGAAACAGACTCCATCTTGGGGAACATAACTGGGGTGTTGGCTGATTTTCCTACAGGGGTGAAACCCATCGGTTCCAAGTGGATATTCAAAAGAAAGATGCACCATGATGGTTCAATATCATCCTTTAAGGCTAGATTGGTGGCAAAAGGGTATAGACAGAAAGAGGGGGTCGATTATTTCGACACCTATGCTCCAGTTGCTAGAATTAATTCTATTCGAACTCTTATAGCAATTTCTGCCAGACTCTCTAAACAAGACCTATTTATAGGTCAAACTAAAATACACAAGACAAAGTCAAACTCAAGACTTACAAAGTCAAACTATCAAGAATTACAAATAAAATCTTTCAAGAATGAATACAATAAACTCTAAAATTCAATCCTAACACAGATGCTGAAGGCATTTCATTCACTAATTGATCAGTGTTTAAAGTAGAAAGAGAAACACAACTAATGGGAACAACATCGATCTCTGAAGAAGACACGTTGGTATGACTAGCTGCAACTGGAATGATTAATGGATTATCTTCAGCTTTTGGGCCTTCGGTGTTGAGAGGAATGCTAAAGGAAGCTTCAGGTTGTCCATAATGAGAAAACATCCAGTTTTCTAATTTTTCATCATCATTTATGATGGTTTAGAATTAACTGATAGAGATTTATCAAATGTGACATGAATAGTTTCTTCTATCGTCTGTCGGTGTTTGTTGAATACTCTTAAGGCTTTGGACACTAAAGAATATCCAAGAAAAATTCCTTCATCAGTTTTGGGAACGAACTTTCCTAGTTGATCACGGTTGTTGAGAATATAACACGTGCAACCAAAGATATGTAGAAAGCTGATGGAAGGCTTTATGCGATGGAAAAGTTCATAAGCTGTCTTCTTGAACCTCTTAACGATCAGTGACCAATTTTGAGTGAAACAAGCAGTGTTGACATCTTCAGCCCAGAAATTGGTAGGGAGATGGGACTCGCTAAGCATCGATCGAGTAGCCTCAATGATTGTTCGATTTCTTCTTTCAGCGACCCCATTTTGCTGAGGAAAAGTTGTGAGAAATTCTCTTGTCCTCAAAGAAGTTATTCATAGTACTGTTTTTGAATTCAGTACCATGATCACTTCTAATAGATCGTACTTTAATATTGTTAAGTACTTCTATTTTCTTGAAGAACGATATGATGTCTTCAGGTGCTTCACTTTTGGATATGAGAAAGAAGATTCAAGTGTACCTGGAGTACTCATCAACAATGACGAGTGTATACTTATTTCCAGCGATAGATTGCATGTTCACAGGACCAAAGAGATCCATGTGTAGTAGCTGAAGAGGCGATGTCACTGAAGAGATTTGCTTTGTCTTAAAGCTAGCTCTAGTATGTTTTCCTTTCTCATACGCTGAGCAAAGAGATTCATTTACAAAGGAGTGTTTAGG